AAAAAAAAGCGGTCAGAGGCCGGGCGCGGTGGCTCGTGCCTGTAATCCCAGGACTTTGGGAGGCTGAGGCGAGCGGATCATGAGGTCAAGAGATTGAGACCATCCTGGCTAACATGGTGAAACCCCATCTCTACTAAAAATGCAAAAAAAATAGCCAGGCCTGGTGGCACATGCCTGTGGTCCTAGCTACTTGCCAGGCTGAGTTGGAAGAATCGCTTGAACCCAGGAGGTGGAGGTTGCAGCGAGCCGAGCAAAAAGCAGCCTGAGAACAAAGGTCTCCTCCCCACAGACAAGCCAGGTGAGAGGGGCAGCCTAAGCCAGAGAAACCACAGCAGGAGGAGGCAGCCGCAGAGGGCCCTCCCCAGGCAGTGTGGCTCTTCCCTCCTCTTCACCAGGACTGTTCCCCCTCCCTCCACCCAGTGCTGAGACCAACAGCAGACATGGGACAAGGGCGTGATGCACTTAATACGACCTAAGCCATACAAACCTATTACCAGCAAACTCCAGTGCCTTCACTTTGAAATTCTCTTCATCTAACTTTTTAAAGTGGTCATTCCTAGTTTCCCTCATTCCTCCCAGTGCTCTGGACAGACTGGCCTGTGGCCCGGTGCACATACCTTCCCCCTCTGAGCTGTGGTTCCCTCCCCTGTAAAATGTGATGATTCATATCTCTTCCCAGCCCCAGGTGGGTGTCTGAGGTGCTGAGCACACCGTGCTCTTCCCTATGAAGCAGACTTTCTCCTTTCCCTATTATAACAGATACTTGCCTGGGAATCCAAGAGAGGCTCTTCGCAGACCAACAGGCACCTGCTATTATCAAGCAGTCCAGGTCCCAAATGCTGGGGACTTCCTCCTCCTAAATCTCATTTTCTCTCCATACAAAATGAGAGCAACAATCCCTATCTCTCTGGGTTAGGAAAACACCCTGAACAAAGATGTGCAGTCTCTGGCTGGGAGGAGGACACCAGCTGTCCAACAGTACAGGCTCAGGCATGGCACTGTCCCCATGGTCCCCATCCCCGACCTGGAAGCTAAAAGCTAGAGCCTCACTGCCCTGCCATTCCTGGATACAGGACAGAAGACCATAACTGGGACTGTCACTTCTCAGTAGGGGCGGGGTGAGCAGCCACCTAGATGGAGACATTTCCTGCTCACCCTTCAAACTGCAATCTGGCTGCATGCCCACTAGAAGGACAACTGAAGTGTGACAGATGAACCAGGCTATGGCCCTGCAGCGCCATCGCTGTCCTCACTTGAAGTCTGGCCCCTCTGTTCCTCCACGGCCCCTCCCCATGGCGCTCCACCCCAGTCTTCAGAAGCTTCTGCCTCAAACTCAGGGAGCTGATACCGAGGTGCAGGTAGGATCAGGTGCAGCCTCTGCTGGGTGGAGGGCATGTGCCCTGGGGAACCAGTTCAAAGTGACTGACACTATCGCTGAGGATGTGATTTGTCCTCCCACATGACAGCAAAAATCTGCCAACACAGTCCACTGGGGTTTACATAGGGCCACTGGGAACTTTTTCTTATATCCATCTATTTTACAAGAAGGAGCTGGGGCCACACCAGAGTCACTAAGCTGAAGAAAAGCACAGCCAACCCTGGTAGTCTTCAGCCTCCAATCTCTGGGCTCTTTAACAGCCTGAATGTCTGAGCTCCTGAGCCTTTACAATTTCTCATTTCCTACTTGGATAAAGAGAGGGGAGAGGTGGAAGGACATGGCATAGAGATTGGACCAGCCCAGCATTGACAGAGCCAGGACCTGAGGTCAGAAACTGAGCTTATCTCTAGGCTCATCTGAGGTTATCCTGACAGCCTGAGGACAGAGACCTTATCTCCATTCACAGGCAAGGCGAGTGGCAGGGACTGGCCCCAGCTGACAACTGACAACGGTTTCCCAGGTGCATAGGTGTGACTGCAGTCTTTCCTGCTCCCTCCACTGCTGTCTTATCTGGAGTCTCAAAGTCATCTACTTCCAGTCTCAAAAAATTCCTGGATCCTTGAAAATCTTTAATAACATTAAAATAAAAAATACAACATTGGGATCTATCATTTTTTACCTCTTAGACTAAGAAAGAATGAAAATTCTGTGTAGTAAGGGTGCAGGGACACGGGCACGCTTGGGTACTCTTAGTGTGAGTGTAAAATTGACACAAACTTCTCCCGAAGGACAATTTAGCAACATCCAAACAAAATTCTAAATTGATGAGCTCATTGACCCAACAATTCCTCTCCTAAGGAGCTGCCCAATACTCCAGTGAACATGGATATATGGACACGTGACACATACAAGGGTTCTCACTACGATCCTGCTGGAATTAGCACAAAGGCAGGATATCATGTTAACAATTGTCCACAGGATGGAAAATTAAAATCAACTATGGTTCACCCCATGTGTTTCATCCATGCACTAAATATTATGATGCTGTTTAAAAAAAATGACATACATGCAGGTACTGACAGAAAACACCTAAAGCGATTTGTTGTTCACTCAGAATTTTTAAAACAGAAGGTGCCTATAAATGCACAGGAAGAAAGCTGATGGATGGCAGGATGAGAGGGTCCTGTGGGATGGCAGAAGGCCTTGGCGTCTGCTTATGGGTCCTACCAGGTCTCATGCTGAAATCTGAACCCCAACGTAGCTGGTGGGTCCTGTTGGGGTTTGGGGTGGATCCCTCACGAATGACTTGGTACCATACCCATCCCCTCTCCCATACCCCCCAAGGAGTTGTCACCCTTAGTTCCCTGAGAGCTGGTTGTTACAATGAACTTGGCCCCTCCCCCTCCCCCTGCTCATCACTTTTCCCTCCCCTTACCATCCTCCCCACCCCCTTTCCCTGATGAGCAGAATCCAGCTGTCCTTCCCCTTGGCCATGAGTGGAATCTTCCTACCAGAAGCAGATGCTGGTGCCATGCTTTTTGTGTAGCCTGCAGAACCACGTGCCAAATACACCTCTTTATAAATTACACAGCCTCAAGTATTCTTTTACAGCCACATAAACCAACTGTCACATTTCCAAAACCACCACATTCAGATGTTGGACCTTGTCTACACAGGTGAGCCCTACATCCACCTGGACTCATACTGGCCTGTCAAAAAGAAAGCCATTTAATAAGCTGATTAAAAATAAGCATCAACCGTGGGTTCCACCTCATATAAACTGATGTTTAAAACATAAATTCTGTAATTATTTGCAGATTACAAAATGCCATTGGTGTCCTGGATCTTGTTTACTTTGTTAAACAAAAAAACTTAAAATTTCCTGACACCTGTAAGACTGGTTTTTATCCTTGAGGTATTTAGCTTTTGTTTTGTTTTGTTTTTCCTCGATGTAGAAGTAATCAGGAAGAGAGCAACTGGCAGAGCCTCAACCGACTTGAAAGAGAACCGAAGGCATTGGCATTTTCCAGACTGACTGCTTTCACAGAAAAAGCTGCCCTCTGAAGGATGGGTGTGCCCCGTCCTCGCTGTGTCGCGGCAGCTGATTCACCGCCCTGTACCTGTTCATTTGCAAGAAAATGGCTGGAAGGAAACTGCTGCCGCGGTGCTCAGGGGACTCGAAGGAAACGGAAGACTACAGACAGCGGAGAGAAAGTTACTTCTTCCTGCCGGGCGCGCGTTTAACCGATTTGTCTAAGTAAAGAAGGATGGAGGGGCCCGGCAAGGTGGCTCACGCCTGTAATCTCAGCACTTTGGGGGCCGAGGCGGGAGGATCACGAGGTCAGGAGATCGAGATCATCCTGGCTAACACGGTGAAACCCTGTCTTTACTAACAATACAAAAAATTAGCCGAGCGCGGTGGCGGGCGCCTGTGGTCCCAGCTACCCAGGAGGCTGAAACAAGAGAATCGCTTGAATCCGGAAGTCGGAGGTTGCGGTGAGCCGCGATCACGCCACTGCGCGCCAGCCTGGACGATCGAGCGAGACTCTGTCTCAAAAACAAACAAAAACAAACAACAACAAAAAAAACCCACCCTCCCACCCACACACACAAAACGAAAAGGATGGGGGTGGGGAAGGGGAGAGTGACGGTGGGGGTTTGGGGGGAGGAAAAACAGCTCCCCTGCGCTTCCCTTCACGCAGCCAGTGTGGCTTGGAGATGGCTTGGAAGTTTACACACTTGAGCTCGCTCTATCGATTCCGAAACCTCCCGATAAGTCGATACGTCGTCAGGCGTTGGGAGGAGGTAGCCGTAGAGTCAGCTGCCGACAGGGTGGAGTCCCCCGGCCCAGACTCCTGGGGGGAGGAGGTTGGGGCTCTCTGCTCCTTTCAGGCCCGGGTCACCCCTGCCAGACCCTAGGGACCCCGCTCTTCCTCCCACTTCAACGACGGGTTCCTGCTGCCCGGACATGCCCGGCCACAGGTGACTCAGGCCAGGCACCCTGCTGCGTGCCCCTCCCTCCCTGCCCCCTCCCTGTGCCCGGCGCGCTTTTCCCTAGCCACGACCGCGGTGGGGACTCACCCGCAGCAAGACCCCGACGACGACGACTACGACGAAGAAAGTCTGGGAGACTCGGAGCCCAGGCCTGTCTCCCCGCGCCCGCCTGGGTCCTGGTGCGCGCCCTGCCCGGGCCCTCGAGGGAGCCTGGGCGCAGGGTCCCCGCTGTCTCATGGGGTAGGTAGCGTTCCTCGGCCCCCGCCCGGCTGTTCAATCCTCGACGCGGAGGAGCCCCTCGCTATGCTGTTTGTGGCCGCGGCTGCCTCTGAACCACTCGCTGAGCTAACGAGATACGGAGTCGCTGCCAGAAAAGCGCCCAGCTTTACTCCAGCTGGTGGTGATGGCGTCAAACCGCGTCAATCCAAGAAGTAGTGCGCTCTGATAAGACCAAAGTTGGCATTCTCTGGGTCAAGGCACCTGATCCCGCCCCCTTCTCAGGGCACCGGAGACTCCTGTTGGTGAACCCTGAACTTCCTTCCTCTTTGCTCCCGCCTCCGACCCCCCCCGCCCCCCACTGCTGTTCCTCGAGACCACACCCCGCCTCCTGGATGCCGCTGCATTCGGAGTCGCTTTGCCACTTAGTCAAAGCGCGCTATCTTCCTAGTATCCTTAAACCCTAAAAGTATTATGGGATTTGCATGCTGTAGCTATAGTTTAACCAAAACATTAGATTGTGGATCTAGTAGCAGACGCCTGCAACTTCTTATCTACCGAGAAAGTGTGCAAGAACCGCTAAGTCATGCCCCCATGCCTAACAACGTGGCTTTCTCAACTTTTAAAGGATTAGAGTCATCCGTGGGTCTTAGGACTCCAAATAAAAGTAACAAACCTGTATTTTTCTACTGCTATAATAGCCCTAATCCCCTTAATCTAACCGATTATTACTACCTTAGCCAGCCCCTGCAAAAAAGGTTCATACCCAAATTACGTAAAACTATCCATCGCATGCGCCTTTGTCATTAGCATCATCCATCCCTACAGCAATATTTATATGTACATGCCAAGAAATCATTATCTCAAACTGACACAGCAGACAATCCAAACTCTTAAACTCTCACTAAGCTTCAGATAGACTACTTCTCCACAATATTCATCCCAGTAGCACTATTTGTTACCTGATCTATTGTAGAATGCTTAATATGATATATAAACTCAGACCCTAATATCAATCAATTTTTCAAATACTTATTTTCCTCATCACCATATTAATTCTGGTTACTGCCAACAACAGCCTTCAACTTTTTATCGGATGAGAAGGCGTAGGAATCGTGTCTTTCTAATTGGCTGATGGTACCCCCGAGCAGAAGCGAATACAGCGACCCTCCAGGCAGTGGCGATATTGGCTTTATTTTAGCCAGAGCATAATTCATCTCATCCTCCAACACATGAGAGCTTCAACAAGCATTTATTCTTTTATTTATTTATTTATTTGTTTGTTTGTTTTTTGAGACGGAGTTTCGCTCTTGTTGCCCAGGCTGGCGTGCAATGTCGCAATCTTGGCTCACCACTCCCGGGTCCAAGCGATTCTCCTGCCTCAGCCTTACGAGTAGCAGGGGTTACAGGCGCCCGCCACCCCGCCCGCCTAATTTTTTGTATTTTTAGTAGAGACGGGTTTCTCCATTTTGGCCAGGCTGGTCTCCAACTCCCGACCTCAGGTAATCCGCCCTCCTAGGCCTCTCAAAGTGCTGAGATTACAGGCGTGAGCCACTGCGCCCGGCCACAAGCATTTATTCTAAACCCCACTCCCGACTCCCTTCCATTAATTAGCCTTCTCTTAGCAGGAGTCGACCTCAGCCTCTGGGTAGCCGGGTTCCTGTCGTCCAGCAGGCGCTCGGTGGGCGGATGGTGGCGGAATGAAGGCTACGGAGGCCACCACCTTGGGGTGTGAACTCCGGGCCGCTGATGGCTTCTATGGCGTCTTCCGTCGACACCCGGCGAGTGACTCATCCTGCTGTTGGTCTCAGGTTTCGATGCCAATGAAATGTCACGTCAGCTCCACTGTCCCCGGTGTCAGGCAAGCCCGAGGGACCCAATTCCGCCTTTCTTCTGGATTTTCCTAACCTGTTAAGAGTCTTGAAAGCCCTTAAACCAGGGGAGACTACCTGGCGCGTGACAGGGGATGCGTCTTGGCTGGGGTCCCATGTAGGGTAGGTCCTCCCAGCAGTTCCTCCGCACCGAGCGCTGCGCCGGCCCCGGCGCGGGAAATCAGCCTCCCGAAAGCCAAACGAGTCACAGTCCTGCCTGCGCAGGGCTCCCAGTGCGACCATGGGGCTGAGGAGTGGGTAAGAGAAAGGGGGCGCTGGCTGATGCATTTTTCTCCCTACTTTTACGGGTGATCCGACACCATTTGTTGAAAAGATTTTCTGTCCTTACCCAATAGCCTTATCACTTTTGTTGAAATGAAATTGACCATATATGTGTGTGTGTGTTCATTTCTGGACTCCATTCTGCTCCATTTATCTTTATTTGGCTAATGTCATGCTAATTACTACATTGTCCTAATTATGAGCTGTATAGTCAATCTTGAAATCAGGGAGTTCAAGTCCTCCCCCTGCTTGCCCCCCAAAAATGGTTTGCATTTCCACATATATTTTATATAGAATACATTTTTTTTCAATAAAAAAAAAAAAAGCCTGCTGGGATTTTAATTGGGATTGCATTGAATGTAGAGATCAATGGGAATAAAAGACATTTTAACAATTTTGAGTCTTCCAATCTATCAAATTTATTTATTTATTTAGATATTCATTACGTAGGCTTGACAATATTTTGCAAACTTTTCACTTACAGGTTTTGCATATCTTTTGTAAATATATTTCTAAATATTTTTGTTACTATTGCTAGTGGAATTAGCTTCTTTTATTTTCAAATTATTTGTTGCAACTATACAGAAATACAATTGATTTTTGTGCATTGGCCTTGTATCCTATGGAACTGCTAAATAGATGTAATGTTTCTAGTTGTTATTTTTATAATTATTTAGGATTTTCTATGTAACCAATCCTACTGACTGTAACTAAAAACTGTCTCAGTTCTTCCATTCCAATCTTATTTATTTATTTATTTATTTGAGACAGAGTTTCATTCTTTTTGCCCAGTCTGAAGTGCAATGGTGCGATCTCGGCTCACCGCAACCTCTGCCTCCTGGGTTCAAGTGATCCTCCTACCTCAGCCTCCCAAGTAGCTGGGATTACAGGCATGTGCCACCGCACCTGGCTAATTTTGTATTTTTAGTAGAGACGGGGTTTCTCCATGTTGGTCAGGCTGGTCCGGAACTCCTAACCTCAGATTATCCTCCCACCTTGGCCTCCCAAAGTGCTGGGATTATAGGCGTGAGCCACCGCTCCCGGCCTCCAATCTTTATACCTTTTATTCATCTTTCTTGCTGAATTGCTCTGGATAGGATTTCCAGTACAATGTTAAATAGAAATAGTTAAAGCAGGCATGCTTATCTTATTCCTTATCTTAGAGAGAACACATCTAATTAATCACCATTAAATACAATGTTATAGCTTCCTCATAGATCCCTGCTATGGTTTTAATGTCTCCTCCAAAACTCATGTTGAACGAGACTCCACCTCCAAAAAAAACAACAACAAAAAGGCCCCACCTCCCAACACCCTTACACTTGCAAGTGGCTCACACCTGTAATCCCAGGGCTTTGTTTGGGAGGCCGAAGTGGGTACATCAGGAAGTCAGGGGTTCGAGACCAGCCTGGCCAATATGGTGAAACTCCATCTCTACTAAAAATACAAAAATTAGGTGGGCATGGTGGCACTCTCCTGTAATCCCAGCTACTCAGGAGGCTGAGGCAGGAGAATTGCTTGAACCCAGGAGTCAGAAGTTGCAATGAGCTGAGAATGCCTCAGTGCACTGCAGCCTAGGCATCGCAGCAAGACAAGTCTCCTTCTGTCGCCGAGGCTGGAGTGCAGTGGCAGGGTGATCTCAGCTCACTGCAACCTCCATCTCCTAGGGTTCAAGCAATTCTCCTGCCTCAGCCTCCCGAGTAGCTGGAACTTCAGGCAGGCATGCACCACCATACCTGGCTAGTTTTTGTATTTTTAATAGAGATGGGGTTTCACCATGTTGTTCAGGCTGATCTGAAACTCCTGACCTCATGATCTGCCCGCCTCAGCCTCCCAAAGTGCTGGGATTCAGGCGTGAACCACAGTGCCTGGCCTGATGTATTATCTTTTTTACATATTGCTAGGTTTGACATGCTAATACTTTCTTAAGCATATTTTTGTATCTGTATTCATGAGAGATACTGATTTATCATTGTCTTTTTCTGTAATATCTTTCTAAGTTTGGGTATAATCATTATTCTGGCATTATAAAATAAACTCAGTTTTCTTGAGAGTCATATAAGATTGGCATTACTTCTTTCTTCAGTGTTTGATACATTCACCAGTAACACGATCTGGACTTGGAGATAATTTTTGTTGTTTTTCTTTTGGAGTATGTGCGTGTCTGAAGGTTTTTGATAATGACTTCAAATCCTATAATAGATAAAGGTTTTTCAGATTTTCTATTATTTTATGTGTCTCTTCTGGCAAGTAAAAATTTTCAAGGAATTTGTCTCTGAGTTCTTAAATATATTGGCATAAAGTTGCTCACAATATTCCCTTATTATCCTTAGCAATCATAGTGATATCCTCTCTTTTATTTTGATTTTGGTAATTTATGTTCTGTCTCTCTCTGAAGAGTTTTGCTAATTATTTATAAATGTATTATTTTCAAATAGCTATGCTGTCAATGTTAATTTTGTTTATTACTTTCAGGGTTTTTCTGTTTTCTATTCTGTAGATTTCCTTACCTTATTATTGCCTTTATTACACTTACTCTGGGTTTATATTGCTTTTCTTTCTTTAGCTTTCAAATGGAAACCCAGATCATTGATTTCTATCCTTTTTTCTTTACTAATATAAACATTCATACTCTCTATGTCCTGCTGTGGTTACTTCCTACAAATTTTGATATTTTGCATCATCATTTAGTTTGAAATACTTTCTGATTTCCACAAGCTTTCTTCTCTGACCCATGGTTGTTTAAATTGCAAATATGAAAGTCTTTTCTATATATCTTACTGTTATTGACTTCTAGTTCAATTCTACTGCAACTAAAGAACGTATTCTGCACAATTTCAATCCTTTTAAATTTGTTAAGACTCTTTGTAGGCCCAGAATTGGGTGTACCTTAGTGAACACACTATGTGCACTCGAAAAGAATGAACATTCTACAGTTGTTGGGTATAGTATTCTATAAATGTTTATTAGGTCAAGGTGCTTGACAATTTTTTTCAGATTATCTAGGACTTCATTAATTTTTGGTTTTTTTGAGACAAAGTCTTGCTCTGTTGCCCAGGCTAGAATGCAAAGGCACCCATCTCAGCTCACTGCAACCTCAGCCTACCAGGTTCAAGCAATTCTCCTGCCTCAGCCTCCCACACAGCTTGGATGATAGCCACGT